ACTTTGCAAATATTCCATTTACAACTATGTTACAAAGTGTTGATGTTATAAACCAATTTAGTCAAGTAAATATTGACACAATTCATTTATTTATTTGGATGCCTTTATTTGTTAATATTATGATATACATTTATTGTTCTCTTAACAAAGGTTGAATTTGTATAATGTTTTTAATATGTTGTTTAGAAAAATAATAGTCACACAGAGAAGCTACAAAAGTAAGATAGGAGTCGTGTATAAGACCATCTCCAACCGTTCACCAAATTCATCATCAAATTTAAATTTGGTGAAAAAGAGGTACTTTTTGTGCTCCAAGAGTTTCACCAAAATGGTATTAAATTGAGAAAATATCAAACGTTTCACCAAACTAAGGATCGCTTGCACCTTTCAGCAATTTACTTTGTATAGCCGTTGAGTGTGGACCACTGGACAACCAGCCCCGGATGACCACCTCAAACAAAATTTTGTGAAAATTTTACATTGAGAGGTCGACCCCCCGATTGACCACCAACAATTAATTGCTCTGCTTCCTTGAGATGTCCATATCTACTCAACAAGTCCACCATAAAAACATAGTGAACCAAGTCTGCTTCAATCCCATAATTTGTTTTCATTTTCCCAAATTCTCTTCCCAAAAAAGTGAATTAATGAGTTGTTTTTGTTGTTGTTGGCCTCCTCCTTTTGCTATTTCTTCTTGGCACTTTTTCTCTTCTTTGCACCTGATGGCATGATTGATGGGTTCTTGTTGGGAGGGGGGAAGCTAATAGAAATGGGGTAAACCCAAGACAGACATGTGAAGCAAAAAAGTGAAATTTAAGAAAAGAGGAGAGAAAAAAAAGAAGAGAAAACCCAGAAAAAGTGAATGAACCTTGAGAGTGCCATTGCAGGCACAAGGAGACTCAATCTGATGCTCTTCATCTTCCTCCTGACAAATCCTACACTCTCTCACAACGTTTTCTGAACAACCCACACCTCCACCATTGTTGTTCTTAACAAAGACCACTTCACTATTATTAATAGAGGACAACAGATCATTATCAATCACTACTTCACCGCCACCGCCGCCGCCACCACCACCACAACCACTAGCACCTCTCAAGAGTCTTTCTCTCTTATTGACAGACTCAAAGCATGTTGATGCTATTAGCCTATCAACACACACCATGAATTCATCCACCATCTCTTCTCTGCTTATACTGTTGTTTTTTTATTTTTTGCATTGACCGGTTTGCCTAGTCGACCGGTGGTTTGATGAAAATTCAAATTCTTCCGTTGGAACAGGCGATATCAGATAGAGGAACTTGTCCTTTTTTTACTCAAATTTGATGAAAATTCTGGTAAACCATTGGAGATGCTCTAAGGGGTTGAGAGACTTACACAAAGCAATACTTTCAAGGTGGGAAAAACAAAATTCCTTTTATTATTGTGTTTTTTTTTTTTTTTTTTTTTTTTGCTTTCCTTCCACAAAATTCCACTCAAATTTTTTATCCAAAAATATTCAGCGTCAGTTTGAGATATATATGTACCTTTTCCTTGAGTGGTTTTTTTGTGGGTGGATTCGGATTGGAGTGTTGGAGGGTGAGAGGGTGTCTATTGTGGAACCAACAGTGGATTTCGCGTGGTAATTTTAATTTGCATGATTTGTGGATGAAGTATTTGCACCGCCGGCAAAAACATGCGGGACCCTCACTGATGAGTCGCTGGCACGCATCACACTTGATTCCTCCTCCGCCTTTTCCCGCTTCATGATCAGTCAGTCGATGCTTATGGTGGACAAGTTCATTCTTAGACGGATGCTCTTCAATGAAGTTCTCAATCTTCCTCAGCAGATGTTGAACCACCGCCATCTCTCTCTCCTAAAGGAATTTATGATTGTGGTGTGCAACTTTTATCTAGAATTTATAAGGGACTGATTTCTTTTTACTCCCTCCGTCCCAAAATATTGGTCCCTTTTGGGGAATCCAACTTTTTTTGGTAGTACACTTATTGCATTTGAAAAAAGTTGGTTTTCCAAAATTACCCTTTTGATAGTACATTTTTTGGGAATATCAATGTCATAATTGTACTTTTTAAATTGTTTATTAATTTAAAAGAAGGACAAAATAGGAAATTTACATTATTTTTGTACTTGATTTATAAAGAGGGACTAATATTTTGGGACAATGAAAAATGGAATAAGGGACTAATATTTTGGGACGGAGGGAGTATTATTTATCATACATATAATATTTAAGTCAAAAATAATAATTTTTAACGAGAATAGCTTCAAGCAAATGTGAAAATGTCAAAACACCATTCCCGTCTCTCCCTTACATAAAAACAAAGAGGCAATAGGTAAAGTTGAAGATTTGGAATGCATTGAATGATAATTTGAGTAATTTGCAATAACCAAAAAAGATTGTAGAAATACCTATAGTCACCCTTATTGTAAAGATGGTCATGCAAATCCTCCAAAACTTTATAGAAGAGTACTCCTCGTAACTTCGCCAATTCGGATCGGACATCTTGAAGAGCACCAACCTAGGCCAGATCAACCAGGATGCAGATTATATATACATAACATACAAACACCCACTCAATTTACTTAATGGTATGCCTCTTCCAAGTTTGTAAACATCAACTAACAATTAAGCATTATGGAAAATTAAACTGTCTACAGTAGGAGTCCCCCGCTGCTTAGGTAGCATTCCCCCAATAAAGAGACTCAAGTTTGTGTCTCCTTACCTTACCTATCAAAAAATTATCTAAAGATGGAGCTTCCATGTTTTGATCCTCTATATCCATGTTTTAAAACAAAGGATAAAGGTAATTCTACTAGTTACAAGAACCCAGGAGTGACATTGGTTTCTATCCAGTTATGCTTGTGAAGCAAAGACCCACATCGCCTGAGTACAAAAATAATATTAAGCATATAAGCGTGAGGGTACCCTCACGTTAATAGCTAACTTTTGGGGTAAGTGCTACCCAAGACCGTGTAACATGCTATCAAAGCTAGAGTACTCAGAGATGGGTAGGGTGCGTGTCCCTGGCCTGCACGCCGTAGATGTTACAGGGTGAGCACACCGAGCGTGAGGAAGGGTGTGAAGTGAAGTCCCACATCGCCTGAGTACTAAAGTAATATTAAGCATAAAAGCGTAAGGACACCCTCACCTTAATAGATAGCTTTTGGGGTGAGTTCTACTCAAGGCCGTGTAACAAAACTAATGTCACACATCTCAAAAAACTTGAAAGATGTCCTATAATTCACTGATTTGATAGGCATTGTTTAAATTAAAAAATGCCACAATAATATCATGCATATTGAACTGATGTAGGATGTGTTGGAACTTAAAGTACTACAAAAGGAGCACATTTTGAGCCAGCAACCTTCAATTTGGGGGTCAAATGATTTAGCTGAAAATATTTGCCAAAGATATCCTCCATGCAAAAATACAAAAGTGGAAGGGTCATAATGAGAAAAATGAAAAAAAAGACAAAAACCAACCGTTTGAAGACCCTCTCTCTCAAGCATCAAACTTGATTGAACATGTAACTGTACAGCTGCATATAACTGCTTCTCAGCAATGAGCTTCTCAATACGGGCAGGAACCTGAGCCACATATGAAACAAAGTCAATCAGGAATCAGATACAACAAAGATGCAGCACACACAAAAAAATATATATATATTTGTTAAATAGTTGAAGTACTGATAAGTTAATTGAAACGGTCGGGATAAATATTCCTGAAAAGCATCCAAAGCATCTAATGAAAAACCTATCTGCTTTATAAAAAAATAAAAAATAAAAATTGCACTTCTCAATAGTTGAAAGTTCGAAGAAATATCAACACTTCAGATACAATGTTTGGCAACACTTTGAGTCTTGTTAAGCAAAGTTCTTAATTAACAAACAATTAGACCAATAGTGACAAGATATTTAGAAACAAATCAAGTTCTAGAGACACAAAAGCAGATTAATAACGGCTCAAAGTTACAATTAATTTTCTTCAGCACTAAACTTGTCTTTACTCATTAATTAAAAATGACTTAACAGGGCATGTTCAAGAGAATCTACCTTGCATATATTTTTCTTTTCATATGTAGGAATTGATATGTCAATTGTAAAAGAAAAGGTTTTGGATATCAAGGATGACAAATATGTGACATGCTATTTTCGTAAATTTAGACCAATATGACAGAATAACGAAGGAAATAACCAAGCAACATATCCAAACCTACCAGGAAAAGGTTACAACAGAAGCCAAAAGGTCATGCCTAAAACTCTTTCAACCAACATGGTGAGGTATTAGGACTCAAATTTTTTATCGGAAACACAGAAATTTTACTGAAAATAAGGACCAAGTAAAAAGAAGAACCCAAACAGAGAAGCCCAACAACAAAATACAAGATACAAGGGAAACAGAAAACTAAAAGATTACATGTCACATGCAACTACAAGATTACATGTCACACACAAGATTACATGTCACACACAACTGGACAAAAGATATAACTTCAAATAGAACCAATTGGAGAAACGGGTACATGCGGCCTAAAAAGCATGAACACAGACATGCCAACATGTCAATTTTCAAAAAATGCAAGACACGACACATTGGATACACACACAAACTATATAATTTTATATATTTATTATATGTCATATATATGAATATATCATTCAAAGATAATAAAAAAAGTAACATAAATTTACATTATTTTTTTCTTTTATTATCGTATCCTAAATTATTTAATTCAAACTTGTAGTTAGTTTGTAGTTAGTTTCATGTCTCTCTAATTGGTGAACATCTGTGTTTAAGCAATGGACATGTGGGACCTTCAAGTGTCCAAAGAGTGTATGGATGTTAAAAAACTTTTTTAAAAATAGGACACGTTTTTTGACGAGTGTTGGACACATGTCGAAAAGTGTCCAATGAGTGTCTATGTCCAACACGGACACGACACAGATTTGCCACCTTCTTAGAAGTGTTTGTGCTTCCTAGCATGCGGCCGACCCCAAGTAACAAGGACAAAGGCTTGTTGGTTGAGTTGACATAGGGCAGATGTAGACATACAATAGATTACGATGTAGACATACAATAGATTACGATGTAGAATGCCACTGCATTTTTTATCCTTTTAAAGTAACTAGGAACTTCTAAGTCTCTCTTGGTTCCCTTTTTTCACGGCACCAAAAACAAAAACAAAAACAAAAAACTTTCACTTTACGTAAAGGGGACGGGAACTCATCCATATATTTCTCTCAGACAGCACATCCAAGTTATATTCATTCCTTGAGGAACTTATGCTGGAAATAGCTCATAGAACTAAATTAATTGGCATCAAATCTACACCAATGGAAAAAGGCCACCAAATTTTTTCATGATATAGCTAAAGAGGGAGAATTTTATAAACACTTGATGAAAACTTGATAAATTTTGAAAAAGATAATAATGACTCAGATAATTCTGATGTGCAGCCTATATAATCTACTAGAAGAGATTTGTTCTTGAGATCTTCAAATTACAAGAAGAATGAAAAATTGCAACTTGTTAACAAAATATAAAATGAGTACTAAAAATAACTAAAGTAATAATAACATTAAGAACGATAACAAGCCTACCTTTGCAATGCCCTCAATTTGATCTAAAAGGGAAATTATGTGACGCAATGTAACAGACCGATACCATAACTGATGCAACTGTTTGTTACGGGCACCAAGAAGCTTCTTTGCCTCGGCCAAATCAACCTTTAAGACAGCAATGCTTTCAGTAGATTCACTAAACAACCGCAAAATCTGGAGAAAAGGAAAACATTTGTTATAAATCAAAAAATAGAGCCAACCATTACCTTCTCAAAGCCCCAAAGAAGAGAAAAACATAATTGAAGGCTGAGGGGGGATGGAGGGAGGGAATCTTTGGTACTCAATCAAATGATAGTTGCACACAAAAAAATAAAAATAAAATAAAATAAAAAACCTAAGTGATATTAAGACATTTAGCCCAAAAATTTCTAAGAGTGAATTTTGGTAACAACATGAACTTAAAGGGTTGATGAATCTACCATACATGTATCTCAAAAATTTTGAAGTTTCAAAATTGTCATCATGCTTATATTTTATATTTTAATTTTATGATTTGATTCTATTATGTTAAACTCTTTAAAGTGATGATTTAATGGCTTATGATCTTTATTTGTCATTAACTTTGAGTTTGGCATATTTTGAAACATTTTGAATATGTTTTTCTGAATTTTTATAGAAAAGGTTGTGGAGATGTCAACGCAATTTTGCATTTTGGCAGGAAAAATAAACTTTTGTGTGCAAGGTGTCAACACCAACCTTTAAGGTGTTGACTACATTTTTCAGTTTGTATTTTCCTACCCAATGTGTCGACACGAAGTTAGATGGTGTCAACTACATTTTCTAGTTTCTCCATATAACACAGTTCTCCATAGCAAGGTGTCGACCCCTTAGGTTCTAGTGTCAACACATTTTTCCAAAGAGTGCTAGAATCCCCCTTCTCTTATGATGTTGACACCAACTGTCGGGAATATTAATTTGGGAGTGAAAAGCAACATTTTCAATTAAATTTTGTGCATTAAATGAAGACTAACTACCGCCTACTGTTAGAAATCAATAGAGGGCCATAAAAGGGAGATTTTTGACTCACTTGAAAACAAGATTTTGAGCTCCAACTTTCAATCATTCAAGACATTCAAAGCTTTCAAGCCCATAAAAACACTTTTATACTTGTTCTTCATTGTATTAAATCTACTCTTGGGGAGTTATTGCTTATATTCTTCTTCTCATTTATTGCTCTAATCATTTGTAAAATGATTTGTGAACCCTTGGTAAAAGATATGAGTATTTAGGGATAAATCCTCGAGGGTTTGTTTTGGCCCAAAATAGGGGTTGTTTTGGGGTTGAAGATTTTGTGTTTTTTTCGTTGTAAAGGTCTTGCAAGTACCCGGGAGCTTGTTAAGTTGTAATATTATTGTTGAATGGTCAAGAAAGTCAAAAACAACACTTGGAAAGTGGATGTAGGCTTGGGTTGAGCCTATCCACTATACATCGTGATGTTTGGTTTAATCTTGCCTTTATCTCTCATCTTGCATACAATACTTGTGTTTATCTTTCATAGCATTTATATTTACTTGATCTTTATAGTTTTAATCTAAGAAGCATGGGCATTTCTATAGAGGAGGTGTGTCGTGTTGGACATGATACTCTGAGGACACTCCCAAAAGTGTGTCCGACACTTCATCAACATGTCTCAATTAAAGTTTTAAATTCATATTATGGGACACTTTACGGGCACTTTGACGATGCTTCTTGAACCATGCAAACACTACCTGTAATGAATCTCTTCATAGTAACAATGTTCTCTACATTCTTCAAAATGCAATTAGTACACTTTAAATATGTTTTGAAACATTTACAAGATGAATACATCATGTGTATTTCAGTGTTCTACAATTGTTTTGCATTATTTAGAATTCAATTGTTACGTGAATGATATCTTGATATCTAACTGATGGAATATATGACTTTTTAAATTTCATTCGCGTTATGTTGCATTTTTTTCATCACTTTTGATTAAACTAATCATATATTCATCATATAATAAATTTATATACTAGTCAATAATCATATATTAGACATTAAAAATTCATAAAAGAAATCAGCAGGATGTGTTCTGAGGTCAACATGCATATTTATTAGATCCAACCACCATCACAGCTTGTCAATTGCACCTTGGCCACCAATAAAAAAAAGGCCATTAATCCTCTGTTGCCAGCAAATCATCTTCAAGCTTCTATGTTCTTAAGTACTTAATTATCTCCAGATTGTCATTCACCAACAAATCATATTATATTAAGACTTCATAATTGTTTTTCCGAATTGAGATCCAAGATAACATGACAACAGATTAAAGATCGTAACAAACAAAACGATTAAACATTAAACATCTCCTAAAAACATAACCAAGACTGAAAAAATAACAAAAATATAAGAAATGCCAATTTCAAAAAAAAAAATTGAGAAATATAATTATAATTATACAAAAATGTAGGAAATTTAAACAATAGAAACAAGAAAAATGCAATATACAATAATACAAAAAACTTAAGAACCAAGCAACAACCCTAGTTTTCAAAATATATAGATACATTTGTATAGCAACTCAAAGAATACAAAAATAAGGCCATCAAAAAATGGATTCAAATTAGCAAAAATGTGGTCATCTGAAAAATGCATTGGAAAGCAAATTAGTACTATCCACATTGTAAAATGACCAATCATATGAAAATGCTTTTCTGAAAATAATCCAAACCAAACTAAACCTTGTCCCAATTAAGTAGGATCGGCTACATGAATCTTTTTCTGCCATTCCACTCCGTCAATGGCTATATATTCAGTTAAAATAAATAAATTCATATTCTTTTTTACTATTGTACCTCATGTCAATTTAGATCTTCCCATCCCCTCAACATTTCCACGTATGGTGATCATATCACTCTTCTTTACCATTGCATCAACAAGTCTTTGTTGATTGTACATGACCGAACCATCTTTGTTTGTTCTCTCTTAACTTATTTTCAATTAATGTTACTCCTATCATTTCATGAATATATTCATTTGTAATTTTGTCTTTTTTAGTCTTAGCAAATATTCATCTAAGCATCCTCATCTCAGCTACATTCATGTAATGATAAGGTTCTATCTTGTAAATCATTGTTGCCCTCATAGCTATTTTATGGAGAGAAAAAATAAAAATAAAACAATTTTATCAGTATTTATTGATCATAAATTATGCTAAAAACACTTCTCCACTTGAGGCAACTTACTTTCATTCTATGAGTCAAGTCATCTCCAACATCTCCATCCTTATTAAAAACATAATTTAGGTAATAAATATGTTCACTCTCTGTTATCTCCTGATTTTCGATCTTCACTTCTCCACTATATCTACTTCAATTTACATTCCATATATGCAGTTTTAGTTCAGCTAATTTTAAACCTGTTTTTACATTCCACTATTTCTACTTCTCTCTATTTTAATGTTGACTTCTCCCTTAGTCTCATCCACTAAAACAATATCATTTGCGAACAACTTCTATCATGGGATGTCATACTGAATGCATTTAGTTCAAGGTTGTTAAAATCGGGACCCTATGTAGGATTGGTGAGAGGGTCTTGTGGATCGGATCATAAAATCCTACTTTCTATTTAAAATAAATAAATAAATAAATAAAGATAAAAATACAAACTAGAATGATACATATTAAAAATAAGGTGAAAAATCACAAAATCTACAATCTTACTACAATCCTACTACGATCCTATACAATCATGCACGATCCCATACAATCCTACACAATCATACTTGCGATCATGTTGTAACATCGATTCTACAACGATCTAGATTGTTTTAGCAATGTAGGATACAATCCTACAATCCGGATCGCGATTTTAATAACCATGGTTTAGTTATTAATTCATTCCATTATCCATCCAAAAGAACACCTTTTGGTTAAAAAAAACAACATCAAAGGTTTCTCTTTTAGGAGTTCAACTTTATCAAGTAACTTATCGAGGGAAAAAATCGGAGTTCAACTTTATTAAGTAATATACAAAACGAAAATTAAGGCCTCGTTTGGCAAGTGCCCCTTTTAACCAAAAAGTCAAAAAGTTACTAAAAAAATCAAAAAGCCAACAACCCATACCAAAAAGTCAAAGATTCCATTTTCTCTCTATTTTTTGCACATCTTTTCGAAATAAGTCAAAAAGTCATCCCAAACATACTACTTTTTTTTACATCACATTTTAGCCAAAAAGTCAAAAAGTTAATAAAAAAGCCTGTTCCCGAACGAGGCCTAAGTCAAAAAATAATTATTATAAATTTAGAAGATTGATGACTTAACTTTAACATGGTTATATTTAGTAACTGAATAGAGTTAAAACTTATCAAAAAGAAGGAATTAAGTCCTATCATGATTCCGAAATATTGCAATTTTGCTAGCAGAAGTAAAATCAAATTAAAATGCAAGTTGGGATCAAAAATGATAAGATCCTAGAAATCATATATGGAATTTTAACAATAATGACTGGTACACAACATATTCAAATGCCAATATCCCGTTGGCAAAAAATCCATCTCCTCGTGATAAGAAACATCCCACACTAGACAATAGAAAAACGAAAAATGTGTTAAGCAGCTCGGCAACAATACAATTTTATTAAGGGCCCATTTGGTTGTCCCAAAAATGTGCAATGCACCATTTCAAAAATCGACAATAACATGATTTTGATCTGGTCAATTCTCTTAAACATGCACTGCTTAATCTTTAATTGGGATATCCAAAATATGTTATCTTCTGAAACCTACACAATTTTGAATTAACTAGAGTTTACAGATTCACAGCTAGTTCAGGACAACAGTATGGGACGTGCTGCTTAGGACTTGGCAAGCAAGAAACCAATCCGCAAAAGTAGATCAATATTGAACAAGTTATTCAACATAGAACAATTTCAACTAATAAGAATTTTTCTATTGAACAACAAAGTGGAAGAACAATCAGGAAACCTGGGAATAATTTTGGATTGCTTTGTTGAAGCCACTATGATAAGCATGAACTACTTCATCCACAACTTCCTCAATAATATCACTCTGCTCCTTCAAAAACTGTGCTTCCCCATCGCGATCTTTCGAAGTCAAAATATGGACAACGTGAGGCAATGAATCAAAACGGGCAGCAGCCCAACTCTCATCTATTCTTGAAAGGTCTTCCCTTAAGTACTACATTGAACATAAAACCACAAACAAAAAACAAAAATAAGTACAAAAAAATTAAAAACAAAACAAAACACTACCCAGAAATTAAAATTAGTAAAATCAACAAAACAAGAGGAAACAAACAATTAGCAAGGTCTGAAAATGATTTGGGGAAAAAGGCGATTCAGCTGAATTAGGAATGCCTTGTTTGTTTGTCTACTAGCTTTGAAGATCTTTTGAAGATGAATATTATTATTGAATAGTTGAATTCTAGAATTTGTGAAATGAACGCACCGCTTTTTCTCGGGAAACAGGTAATCCATCGAAAATTCCCATCTCCGGCCAATAAGCTCACCAGAAGTCGTAGACCTAAGCCAAATTGTAAGTAGTGAATATCAAATCAAACACACACACACACACACATATAGATATATGTATGTATGTGTTGAAAGAGAGAGATGGTGATTGATTGATTACCAGAGAAAGGGGGAGGATTTGGATCTGTGAGAATATAGAGAGGGATTCGAATCTGAGAAAGGAATTGAGAGAGACGGGGCTGATGAGAATGGATCGGAGTGTAGAGAGAGAGAGAGCGAGCTCTGGTGAGCTCCACCACGAACAAGACCTGCCAGACCAGAGTCGGTAATGTTGTTCGAACCCAAATCCAGAATGCAAACCCCCGACTATATCCTAACCATGGTTAAGTTTAGAACGACCTTTCTTCAACCGCGTTAATTTAAGATTACTCTTCTCTTCTGGAAAATTCTTAATGCACAAATATAAACACAAATATAAAATATTTTTTTCACACCTATTACTGAGGCCAAGTTTAGAAAGACTAAATAAGTGTACTTTTTGACTTTTTATGAAATATGGGTTAGATTTGAAGTGATATATTAGAGAGGTGATGTGAGTTAAATAAGATGATGTGATTTAAATAGGATAGTAACTTTTTAACTTTTTGAATTTTTTAAAAAATACCAAACTTTGCCTGAATATATTTTTTTCACACCTGTTACGGAATTGGTTTTGAATTATAAAAAAATTTCACACCTGGTACTGAATTGCTTTTGAATTATAAAAAATTGGCATATTAGCAGTGCCATGTACGGGTATAATAAATAATTATAAATTAATTTCTAAATTAAAATAATAATATAATATTCATTTAAAATATGTATTAAAAATAATTTATAATCAATTATTTCCTCGTCTTACCATTTTAGTATGTTCAAAAATATTTATCCATTTTCAATTTTGAGATACTAAATTTTATTCATTGGTTTGAATTTTTTAAATTAAGTTTCTAAAAATTAAATTTTTTGATTTTCGTATTTTTTTATTTTTAGTGAATATTTTTAAAATTTTAAACATTTTTTTTATTTTTTTAGATGCACCTTATTTAAATGTATCTAAAAAGTAAAAAATTTGTGAAAAAATATTTTTAAAATTATCCACTATATTGTCCAAAATATTTAGATTTTCAAAATTGTCCACTATAAATTATTATAAACACATTTTAAAATTCAAGTAGAAAGACAATGGTGGAAAAAAAATTTCAAAAGTTGAATTAAAACCTAATGATTATATGTATTTTTAATAAGTTGAATTTTCTATAATGTGCAAACAAACTGGGATGAGGGGAGTAAATTTTATTCATTTTTTTTTATCAAAAGAAGGTTTTTATTCTGATATCATTAATTGTGTTATAATTTTTTATTAAAAAATTGTGAGTTATACTTTAATTGGCAAAAATTCAAAAAAAATTACAAAAATTATATTTATGATAAAATATAAATAAATTTCATTTTATAAATTTTGAATTTTAATTTAATATATTATAGTAGTAAATTACATTTGTTAATATACTAATTTTTCTTATTTTGTAAAGCCTAGAAATTTGTCTACTCAAAATTGTAAATTGTCTTATATCATAACTGTCACGACCCATCCCGATGACCAAGGCTGGATTGCGACTAAGCTAATCCTAAAATCCCACAGAGTGATTCTAAGTAATTAATTTAAATAACGCAGCGAAATGAAATAAAGAAGGTAGATTAATATCCAAAGCATACATAGAAATAGGGCTGGGCATAGGGTTATCCGACCCGCACAAACCGCCCTACCCGACCCTACCCGCACGTGTATGGGCGGTTTCGCAAAGTGAATAGGGTAGGGTGCGGTTTGGAATATATAAGATTTGCGGGTTGCGGGCGGGTTGCGGGTTTGGACCGCACCCGTCCCAACCCGCCCGCACTTTGCCAAATATAATTTTTTTTTTTTTAAGAAATAACATGGACCGTTCATCATCATTTAGATCAATCTATCTATCTATTTTTTTGTTTTGCCCTAATCCCGTAGGCTGCTCAGCTCAGTTCTCTCACTCATTCCTCTCACTCATTCTTCTTCCATTTCTCTCTCTCTCTCTCTCCGATCGACCAAACCAACGCCGATTGACCACAACCAGCGCCGATCTGTCTCAGTCTCTGGCTCCGGTAATTCTCAGGTAAGCCTCTCTCTGTTTCATCTTCTCTCTCATTCTTGTTATTCAATTTCTCTCATTCTTCCATCTCTCTCTTTCTCTCTCTCCCCGATCGACCAGAACTAGCGCCAATCGACCAGAACCAATGCCGATTTGTCTCTGTCCCTGTCTCCGACAACTCTTAGGTAAGTATTTCTCTGTCTCCATCTCTCTCTATGTTAGATATTTTTGTTTTTTCCAAACAAACCAAACCCTAATCCTAGTCTGTTTTGTGCGCAGCTCTCATCTCATCTTCTCGCTCATTCTTGATCTTCCATCTCTCTTATTCTTCCATCTCTCTCCCCGATCGACCAAAACTAGCGCCGACTGACCATACCAGTATCGATCTGTCTCTGTCTCTCCGACAACTCTAAGGTAAGCCTCTCTCAGTCTCTGTCTCTATTTCGGTCTCTTTCTATGTATGAATCAATGTTGTTTGTTGTTCGAATGCTGAGAAGTTAGAGCTGTGTTGATATAAGAAAATATGATAATACTAATTTTGTTAATACTAATTTTATATAGATCATGAAACCAGAACCAGTACAAAGTTTATATAAGAAAATTAAATTCAATGAGTTTATATAAGAATTTGATTATTATAGAATAGAACCATAACCAGAACAATGCATAGTGATTTCTTTGAATTTGATTATTTGAATTTGATTATAAGAATTTGATTTCTTTGAACCTGACCAAGAACCAGAAGAATTTGATTTCCTTAAACCAGAACAATAAGAATTTGATTATTTGAAACCAGATCCAAAACCATTACTTTGAATTTGATTATTGCATAGAACAATGCACAGTGATTTCTTGAGTTTATATAAGGGATATGTACTCTGCCATGTTTGATTATTGACCAAAAATAAGGATATTTGACCAAAAATAAATATTTACAAAATGGGGAAAAAAGTTTCAAAAGTTAATTTTTAAAGAAAAAAATCTAAACCGCAAACCACCCGCAACCGCCCGCACATCCGCAAACCCTATCCGCACAAACCGCAAACCGCATTGCGGGCGGTTGCGGGTTGACTTTTCCTCAAACCGCATAGATGCGGGCGGGTCCAAACCGAACCGCAAACCGTTCCAAACCGAACCGCGGACACCCCTACATAGAAATTATTATTTATTTTACGATGTAACATCAGTCAGATAATGATTACAAGGGGAAAAAAAAAACGATATCCATAACAAATTTGAGGTTCTAATCCATATGGTAAAACCATCCTTCTTTAAATTTCTTCACCTGAAAGGGGTTTTAACAGTTATAAGCACATGACAGAGTGAGAAATATTATACTGAGAGCATGAAGGTATAAAATCACCATGGATAATTATTTAGGCTAGAGAGGAATAGTTTGATCCAAATAAATTATTTTTAATAACAGACATATAACACGAAACTATATAACAAAATAATCATAACTACGGTACAGAACAGAATAAAGGGTCAATGGATCCATAACAAACAGAGGGTCACGAAGTGACTAATCAGAGGGCCAAAGGTTATTTAAGTCCCCCAAGACATGGGACTGTCAGAGGGTCACTAAAGTGACAATTCAGAGGGCCAATGATTATTTAAGTCCCCAAGGCATGAGACCTCCGTGGTGGTACTTATTCAAAACAAATGTTTATAAAATCATTGTCAAATATTTTCTAAAATTTAAACAAACATATCCATGGGTTTCAATCTAAACAAATGGAGTTCAGAAAAATAATCCACGTAATTAAAACATTAACATAACTATAAAACATAATTTATATAAAATAAATTGTAATAACTCAAAACATTCGTAAAATATATTATGGTAACTCAAGATATATAAAAAACATATTATGGTAGCTCAGCGTATAATATCACTCACCTAATTACTAATTCCTAATTGGGCTCCCCTCCTCTGCGAGCTGACTCTCTCACCTGATCACCTTTGTTGGTGTTTTTTTTTTTTTTCTTCTCTCTCGATCTCCTCTTCACATCAATTCTCCTATTTATACTAAGCATCAAACTTGCTCAGCAAGTTCATAGGGGACACGTTGCCTAAGCTAGGTAATTGATGCTCTAGAAGGCATGAACTTATCCATTTGGGATAAGTTTGAATATTTATTTACTTTTTATTTATTTATCTTTGGCCCAAATTCTAACATAATTAAACCATTAGATTACATTTTAGCACATGTCATTTAAATGTTTTCCTAGTATTTTTATTTATATATATTTTTATTTTATTTTTATTTTTATTATTATTTTATTTTTTTATTATTATTTTTTTATTAATTAAACAATTAGGGTATCACAATAACTCTTGCATAAAAATAGATTATGATTGACTTGTGGTATTCAATTAAACATTAGAAGTTAGTTAAAAGACATTTGATTCAAAATGTGACATTCACCTAATCATTAAAAATTGGATTATTTTTTTTAAGGTCCCTGGTATTAAGATTTTATAAAATAAAAGATAAGCAATATTTTCATAATAGTTAGGATCTCTCAACATTTTTCTAGAGAAATTTCAATCCAATATGAGCACGAGAAATTTAAAATGTTGTTTTGAAATTTCTTCTGGTTTAAATATTTTTGGTTTGCTCAATTCTCTAATTTTTCTGTATTTGAAATTTTCTCTAACATCCACATTAGACTCCTAGATTTGTGTGTGATAGTTAGAGAAAGTTTGTAAAAATGAAATTTCGTTTGGTATGTTGATTTTCTCGTGCAATTTCTCTAGCATTAAAGATGTCCCCTTGAGATAGGAAATTTCTCTGGAATTTCCCTTGTTCCTGTTGATTTTCTCTAAGGATAAATTTCTCTGTGTAATGGCCAAAAAATTTTGATTTTTCTTCCTCCTTGTCATATTGATTTTCTCTGGCCAAATGAACACACTCCCCCTGATGTTGATTTGCTCACATTTCTTGTGTTTTTTTATCAAACTAGAGAAAATTGAAAAACCACCATTTGACCAATTTTCTCTGGATGTAAGACATTCTCGAATATGCTATGGTATCAATTCAATCGAAGCGATTCTATGCTTCTAGGTGTACGCATCAAATTTTGCACATACTAATATTCATTAACATCAATATATCGCATTTTTACAATGAAACGAGTGAGATGACAAAGAAGATTTGTTTCAAATTAAAGGTCTTAGCAAGTCGCAAGCAAGAATCATAGAACCGTTTTGAAAGAGTGAGCCTCACCTTGGTATAGACGACTAATTTGACCCCCTTTCTGTTTTATCCAGTCTGATACTCTTTATCGTGTCTATGCTCCTCTCATGTCCTGTTATTGTTGAGTAGGTTGTTGTTATGGTTTGGGACATTGTTAGTAGTTCGTTTTTTCAAAGGAATATGTTAGTTTCTTCAGTTCGCTCGAGTGGTCTTTTTCTAACGCTCGAGCGGTTCTTCTATAGTCTGTAAAACTTCTAGAGGGGGTTCATTGTGTGGCTCAAGCTTGTATTTGATGTTTCGAGCGGTGTTACTTACTTGTGTTTTGATCTCGAGGTGTTTGGTCGTCGCTCGAGCGGTCTGTGCGTATATAATGATCGGGAAGAAGGATTTTTTTGTCACATTTTCATCTCCTCTCTCTCTAATAACATTTCTAAACCTAAATTTATTCACTTTCACTCTCTAGTTCTTGCCTAAACCCCTCGATACACCCTAATCATTTATATTTCACACCAAGGTGCTTTGGAGTTAAAATGTAGATGTAAGCCCCCGAAAATGAATAACCATAAATTCATCCACGATATGAATTAAATAACAATGTGCAAAATAAATTGTTTCCATTCATATAATCCATTGTTACAAAACGGTGAATCACATGCAATTAATACATTCATAAGTTTTCTAACCCTAACTTTTTATAGCAATATGCCACAAGGTATAGTGAATATAAAAGTATGAACATTATATATAAAATACCTGTGGCTACAACTTTTCAAGACGATACTTGGTTACAGCAGAAAAGTAAGTTTAAATCTCAATACAATTAAAAACCCTAGGCGGAGGCATATCATCATGCACCTGAAATGGTTTTCCACATAGGGTGATGCCAAAGCCTAATAGAATACTCTGAAAAACAGTGTAATGGATCGAACAAGGCTATAATGAACTGCATATCAATGTCGTGTCAAAACAATGTTTATATCTCTTCTAAAAAAACCCAAGCAAATGCAAGTTTATATCACATATTCTCTAAAAATACTTTCCTTTACAATAGGAAAAAACATGGGCAGTGGATACA